ATTTTAAATAATTTTTTATTCTTATTTATTTATTTTTTATTGTTGGGGGGGTTAGGGGGGCTTCAGGGCAATATTAGGTGTCCAATCAGACCCCTGACATTTCCCTTTTAAAATAGAAAACAAATGGAGGACACCAAATCCTCAATTTCTTTTTCAGCAGCCTCAGCACTCAATGAATGGAGAGCACTCCATACAGAGGCTCCTCCCATTCATTCAGACACTGATAGTAAAATATTTACTAATAACAGTTTATGAATGGGGAGGAGCCTCTGTACTGAGTGCTTCTCCCCATTTAGGAAAACATGAACAGGCTGTGATATAAATCACAGCCTGTTCATTCATAACTGGGGACACATAGTGCTATGTGTCCCCAGTTATTTACAAACACCGGAGTGATCAGACGATCGCTCCAGTGTTTGTCCTTCTCACACGGAGGATCGGTAAATATCAATGATATTTACCGATCACCCGCTCTGAAACTGACAGGATGACAGCGGCTCAGGTCTTCTCCCCGCTCGGCCATCCAGACAGCTGCGGGCGCGCCGTCTCTCCCCCTCACCGCTCGGCCATCCTGACAGCAGGCAGCGCCCCCTCCTGCGTCTCCCCCGGGGGTGGGGGGGCGGACGAGGGAGCGCTGTCATATCGAATGGCTGGTGACTTTGTTGCCAATGGCGCCCTGTGCGGCCGCACAGCTCGCACACCCCTAAGGCCGGCCCTGCGTACACCCACGTGATAGCACTCAGGCACCAAGTGCTGCACTCTGGGGAGGCAGAATGTGTTTCTTATCAAGAAGCAACAGGTTTCAGTAGAGGATCACTACCATGGTGGAGTGAGTGGAAGTTAAGTAAATCCTTCCCTATAGTGTCCCTATAATGAAGTGACCTTGTAGCTTTGCTCAGTTTGTGCAAAGTACAGGTTCTCTTTCAAGAGAATCCCCAGTTTAAAAAAAACACAATCTAAACCCGTTATAGTGACCACTGACTAACTGTAGGTACTGAGGACAGCAGTGCTGCAGGGACAAGAGGGGATGATGCATTGGGAAGAATGTGGGATCGATGCAGTGAAGACGCAGAAGTTTCTATAGTAAAGGCAAGAAAATAAAGATGGTGAACTGGAGATGTTAAATAATGTAGACCACTTAGTAGACATGAATACAAAAAAGTTATCAAACAAGAGTAATGCATAAAGAAGCGCCAGAGATTATCATATATAGTCTCTTAGACAGAGTTGGTGTATTGGCATCTATGCAGGAAGCAGCCCCAAATACAGTCAGGGAGACTGGAGACACTATAAGACAAAACAAGAGAGGGGCGCCTTTTCCTAGTGCAGATCAATTTTTTTTTTTCAATTAAAATGAAGATAAGTAAGTAAATACTCACAAAAGTGGAAGATCACAAGCATAGAACAATATGAAGACGAAACCGAAATGGTAGCAGTGACAGTCTATCGGATGTGTCCAATGTGCAGATCAGTGTACAAGCGTGTCGAAGCGTTTCCGGGGCACGCCCCCTTCGTCAGGACATTCCCGGAAACGCGTTGACATACTTTTCCGGGGATGTCCTGACTTGTTTTGTCAAAAAAGTTATGTACACAACGAAAGTAATATTAAAAGCTGAAAAAGTTAAGGACTTGCTGGATAACATCATTCACTTTGATCTGTCTGCTTCGTCCCACAGTATTTACAGACATTACACATGCAGTCTTGTGATCTGCTCGATGTGTGTGGTGGCATCAGTTTTTTTCCGTTAGATAAGATGACGTACCTAAAAATCCAGTCGTTCATTAACAGGGTGGAAGAAAGTCTCAGTCTTGTGAAGTATACAGCATTCCTGTACAATGACCAGCTGATATGGTAGGTCTCATAAACTCATTTTTCATTTCTGATTATGTAAAATAGTTTTCACTTGTCTTATTGGCCTATTCATATGCAAAGGAATATAAAGTTCAACTTCAAGGCAAGATTAAAAGCCCCTTTTCAAACACTGCATAATATAAGTAATTGTGGCAAATGAATTTACTATATTTCAATCTGCTGTACCTTGAGGCTCTGGGTGCCTGGGGAGCACTGTCTAGCACTAGGAGCTTGCTTACAGGTGGAAATAGCATGCCTTCCCGTAAGAGCCTGGTGCAGCTCTGAATCCTTGCATTGCTCTGTCATTTGCATTGTGCTACAATAAACTTCAGTCGTTGCTGGCAACATATTTATGTTACTATTTATGTTTATAGCAATGTTATTTCTTGATTGTTAGGCATCCTACCTAGAAAGGACGAGTCCAATATGGTGTGCTGTTGAGATGAACTAATCAATAATTGGATAATAAGAGTGGCAATACAGAATTGCATATGTTTAAATAGGCGAAACAGTTGACATACATGTATTTTAATTGTGTATTTAGCTGGACTTCAGCATTAAACTCATTGAGTAATAGTAATAAGTTGGGGTTATTACATTAGCAGTTATTTAAAATAAATATCAGACAAGCAATGAGTTGGCAGCAGTATATAAGAGAAGGGTTGGACAAATCAGTACAATTACAATTCTGAAGCCAGTCAGTCCACGCTAGGAATCCGTAGACGCTTTGTGTCAAAATATGTCTGTGAAGGTTCTCATTCACCCAGGTCATGGTATAACTGTAAAAATTAAGTCAAGGCAACTGGACTTTCTGTATTTTTCTTGAAGACTTTTCACTGGACATCCGACCAGCTTTCTCAATTCAGAATGACTTGTACAAAAATTATCTGGGAATAAATATGATGAATGTTGCTCCATTCCACATAGTCACAAAACAGCATTGTATGTGCCAGATGCTTCCCCCCCCCCTCTCCATTTTTACATAAATGGCCTTATTCCCAGAGAATGTTGTACAAGTCATTCTGAATTGAGAAAGTTGGTTGGATGACCAGTGAAACGTCTTCCAGAAAAATACAGCAAATCCAGTTGCCTTGACTTAATTTTTACAGATATTTGTGTCAAAATATTTTTAGAAACCAGCTCAAGACAAAAATAGAAGGAATAAAAAAATTAAAGTGGAACTCCACCTTTTTTTAAATGCTCCCACATGTTTAGAGAGGATAACTTACCCTCTTCACACTTCTGGATTGCTCCCTGAATCCTCCTCTGCTGCTGTCCACCATTTCTCCTTGGGTGAATGATAGCCAGTGTCATTCAACCCACTTTCTGTGAGCCTAGACTGGACTATCATAGACACAGTCTCTAGGGGTCTGTCATCACACAGCCTGGGCTCACAGTATTCCTGGACTGAGCGGCGTTTCCATGTCACTACACAAGCAGCGCTCTGTCCAGGAGTAAGGAGTCCAGGAGTGCCGTGATAGGGGAGGGGCTGAATTCTCCGATCCGCCAGCGCTGACTGGCGGAACGGAAGAGGGCGAGTACAGCTGGCTCTGCCTCTAGATAAGCAGAGCCAACTGTCAGTCACGCAGCTGGGCGGATCCAGACATAATTGTCGGGATCCGCTTCAACTGCGGCGTCTCGTATACTGCGAGCTTCAGCTCGCGGTATACTAAGCCTAGGGTGACGGGAGGACGCTAGTTCGTGTCCTCCCGTTACCATAAGGAGAACAATGGGGAAAAGCCTTAACCCCATAGTTCTCCTTTAACCGCTTGAAGAACAGTTACATCCTAGAAGCTCCCGGCAGGCCGTGTATACACTGCGGCTGGCCGGGAGGTAGTTAAGGAAGCCGGGTGACGTGTAATGACGCACCGCCTAGCTTCCTGATTAGCCGGGACGCCGTCTTCATGCTCCCTCGTCATAGGTGACGAGGAAGCTGGCTTTCTGGCCAATCAGGAAGCCGGGGGTTGGGTAATGACTTGTCGCCCGGCTTCCTGATTGGCCAGCTTCTCGACCAATCAGGAAACCGGGGGGCGGCTCCATGCTCCCCCGTTACCAAGTCTTATATTTGTTTGCTATGCTCCTTATCTAGTAGTCCTAATGCGGTGTTTTTCCGATATTACACTCGACTTGAAAAGAAATGATAAGACTTCGTTTTTGCCTCCATTCACACAAAACGAATGTTTGGAATTTCAAAGGACAGATGGCTCTGCAAATTGGTGATAAATAAACCCCTTTGTGTTACTTAGCCGACCTAGGCTTTAAGAGCATTAACCTATACAGACCTATCCCAACATTCATGGTGCTATTTAAGAGTGTGGTCCAGATTTTTGAATAAGGGGTGTTTTATGACATTGTTGTAATTTTTATGGGGATGGAGAAGGTGGATCATTTCTAGTTTTATACTATTGTTACGTTTTTTTTAGGGATGCACAGATACTTTTCGAGTACCAGTGCAGATACTTGGCATTTTCATGAGAACTACCAGGGTTGCAGCTGGGACCTGGCTCTCCTCCAGTGTCCTGAAATCATTAGTCGATATTGTTTTAGAAAAACTGTCTCATGACAATAAACAAAAATGTATCAGTACTCGTACTTGTAAGTACTCGGCAAGTACCAGTACTCGTACTCGCAAAACTGGTATCTGTGCATCCCTTTATTTATACTTATAAAAACAAAATCATACATTAAAACAAATGACAGCTGCCTCCTAACTTTTGCATTTTTCTCTAGTGTAGTCTTGGAGCTCAAAAGTATCGGTTCATGTACTCGTACTTGTACCGAGTACTGTACTTGGTATCTATCTGTGCAACCCTAGTTTTTTTTTGTTCTAGAAAAATATTATTTGTGTTAAATTGCACATGGCCTTAAAGATGCCACTTTTTGGCTATGTACTTTTTGTTGTTGTTAATAGTATGCAAGTTACAGGCCAGCATCCATGGATGAGTGGGGGAACACTGAATTTATAGAACATGTAACGGATATCTAAAATGTGCAAAAGACGATGGCCATGTGAAATAACGTACAGTAAATGCGATGTGTATTTCTGAATATAACGCACACAAATCAATAAAATGCTTACACATGGCTACAATTGAGCTACAATGACAGTAAAAATGAAGGCATACTCAAGCAAAGTCTACAATGCATAGTATTTTAAAACAATTGCTGTTTCCTTGCCTGGGTGCTATCAAGAGAACAGTCATTGTAAATCATCCGTAGAAGGAGCTGTCAGCTAACACTGCAGTATTTGTGAAATTTCCAATGGCTAAGAAAGCTATCATTGCACAGTAGGTAGCCCCGGCTATAGGTCTGCATATAGGTCTATACATAGGTGATGGAAACAGAAATATCCTTCTGTTACTTTAGCCAGCTCACCCTCCCAGGTCATGTGTCCTATTTCTGAAAAGGAATGAGTTGCAGTAATAATTTACGACCCCGGTGTAAGTTGGTGTGAAAGAAGGCAGCAAACTCGACAGTCCCCAGCAGTCTTGTCTGAAGAGTGACAAGGTACATATGTTACATTTCACCCTTTTCTCATTTAAAGAGTATTGGTTACAACACTTAAATATCAGAAGCCATTGATGGAAGCAGCCTTTCTTCACATCAAAGTCAACATAAAGTGGTACCATTTTAAAGTGTAGCATCATAGGCTTAACCTTGCGGCAGGAAAATACACACGCAGCCTATGAGACATAGGCAAAGCCTAAACTCTGAAACGTTTTAGAGATGTTGCCTTAAGATGCAACTGCAGCCAAATTTTATTTTTTTTTTTTTTTTTTTTTTTTTTGGGGGGACAGCAATAGAAGACTGATGGGTGTTCTATGTCCCTGTTCCAGAGATTCACCCTCTCTATTTGTACTGGTGACTGTTCTCACTCAAAGTGAAGTAAAAAAAAAACATTGAAAATGTCTAGCTGTCACCAGATCAAGAATAAAGGGTAAATTTTTCAACTAGGACACTCATTCTGGTGACAACTAAGAAGGGATTTCCCTTACTTTGGAGACGTCATCTTGTTTTGGCTAAGGGGCAGGAAGTGAAGAGAAATCTCCCCCTATAGTACACAGATGGCAATAAAACAGCATTCTCCTGATTTACATGTTACTACTGTATGTTGCTCTATCGCCTCTGTGGGCACTACAGCTGTTTATATTTTACCATTTACAATCAATAAAATTACTAACACAGGAAAAAAACTGACAGGCATTATAACTCTCCCTTATTCTATCCAAAATGGAAAAATAATTGGCTTTAGTGCATTAAAAGAGCAGTAAAGCCAAACTTTTTTTTTTTTTGGCTTTACCTTTCTTTTGGGTCATAGGAGTACATTTACTAATCATTAGCAGCAGCTAATGCCTGCTATCTTCTAACTGCAGAGCCAGACAGGATCCTAAAAATATTGTTGGGATCTACCCCGTCTGCGTAAGTGATAGCTGGCTCTTCTTCTCTGCAGGAGGAACAGAGAGAAGGGAAATCCCTGTGGGGAGCAGTGAATGACAGTCACTGTTCTCTACAGGGAGGAGACTGTGAGCTGACCGATCGGCGGTTACATGATCACTCATCTCTCGTATAGGCCTGGCACTGGACAGCAGGGATGCATTGATACCGGTTTTTCGGTTAAGGAAGCCAGGTGGCTTGTAATGACTCGCCGCCTGGCTTCCTGATTCGCAGGGAAGCCATCGCCATGGAGCCGGCTTTCTGGCCAATCAGAAAGCTGGGAAGCCGGTAATGACTCGCCGCCTGGGTTCCTGATTGGTCAAGAAGCTGGCCAATCAGGAAGCGGGGGGGGGGCGAGTCATTACACGCTGCCTGTCTTCCTGATTGGCCGGGAAGCCGGCTCATGCTCCCTCGTCTCCAGGTGACGAGGGAGCATAAAGCTGGCTTTCTGGCCAATCAGGAAGCGGGGGGGGGGCGAGTCATTACACGCTGCCTGTCTTCCTGATTGGCCGGCTCCATGCTTCCTCGTCACCAAGTGATGAGGAAGCATGGACCGCCTTCCCGTCCAATCAGGAAGCCGGGCAGCGTGTAATGACTCGCTGCCCGTCTTCCTAAAACTGGAAGTTCGGGTATCGGGCTAGGCATTGTACTAGTGCTAGTACTCACCCAAATACTCGGTATTGGCACTAATACCGATACTAGTATTTGTATCAGTGCGTCCATACTGGACAGCTGTTGTCCCAGGCTGGCTTTAAACTGAGTGGAGAGTGTATTTTATTTAAGCCTCCCCAATGAATAACATATTTTTGCTAAAGGTAATAAATTACTTTTCTAAACATGCATAAAAGTTTTTGCTTAGAGTTGAGCTTTACGCTTGAATCTGATTGTTTGCTTTTGGAGACACAGACAGGAAACAATCCTTCCAGATGCTTTTCTAAACAAGGCTCCCTATTGGTCAGTGAGGCTGTCCATCACTAGGGTGACCGATAGGAAATCTTGAAAGCCAGGAAGCAACAAGGTCAGGCTTATTCAGGAAAAGTAAAAATTTACATTTATTACAATTGCTTATATCTTTGGATCTACTAATCATTTTCACATGCAGTTTTGACTAAAGAAAATCTAAAGAATCTGCTTGTGCACTGTTCATCATATACTCAATTTGACTTGAGGGTAAATATGTTTAAAGATATTTTCCTAGATATATGCAATATTTTAAGATATAACTCTTTTCATTAACATACTAAGGGGGCTGCTTTATAATAACTTATACAGGAAGCTGATGGCTTGGAATGTCTAGGGATCACTTCTAACAACCCTGAACACCTGATTTCAGATAAGGGCTCTGTATTCTCACAGCCCCTGGCTACCTTTGATCTGCCTTGGAAGCTGATGAAATGAGAGCTGAACATTCTCTCCCATGACCAGAAAGACTCTCTTTAACTGAGAACTCCTATAAAGATAAAAATCCCATTAATGACATGGTTCCACCCCAGTCAGCCAGGGGATCATGCTGTGATCATGCAAGGATCGTGCTGTGTATCGGTGGGCGAGTCGCACGAGAGCCACTAGCAGTCCCAGCAATGAACAGATTATGGTCTTCATCCTTGGGGTAATGTTTGCCTTTCTGTGGCTAGCCCTATTTAGTGTGGCAGATAATATCCTGTAGAGCAAACAGTTTGAATGTGTAAACCTTCGTGTTCTCTAGTTTTGGTCTAGCGTAGAAGCATATTTTCACACTGATGTCTCAGTATACATATAAAAATCTCTCTTTACTCCACAACGTTATTTAAAATATCCATGCCATCCTTTTTTTTTTTTTTAGGGTAGGAAATATTAGGGAAACCAGGCCATATGTCCTTGTCTGTCACAGCTGTCATCACTAGCCTCTTCACTCTGCCATTCCCTGTTAACACTCGGCACTATGGCTGTCTGGCTTTAGTTTCAGATTGTAGATACCCTGCTCACATTACAGCACATACTATAGTGTGTCTCATTTACATGCTGTATTGAGATATAAATACATGTGCAAGGAGTTGGCCTTGTTTGAGAATCAGTTTTAGAATAACTAATAAACCTGACATCCTCTAAGACTTTGCCTGCACTGTCTTTTCTTGCTTTAAAGGGAACCTGATGTTTTGCAGGAAAAGTGCATTTTTTAAAAATGTTAGTAGATTTTTAGAAGGATACTATTAAACTCTTTCTCCAGTATAATTAAAGCTGCACTTCAGGAAAACAATTACATTCACTTTTGACATATATTTATGGAAACTATTTAACCTTTTAAAGGAGAACTATGGGGTTAAGGCTTTTCCCCATAGTTCTCCTTAGGGTAACGGGAGGACACAAACTAGCATCCTCCCGTCACCCTAAGCTCAGTATACCGCGAGCTACAGCTCGCGGTATACTGAGACGCTGCAGCTGAAGCGGATCCCGACAATTATGCCGGGATCCGCCCAGCTGCGTGACTGACAGCTGGCTCTGCCTATCTAGAGGCAGAGCCAGCTGTACCCGCCCCCTCCCCCGTCCGTTCCGCCAGTCAGCGCTGGAGGATCGGAGCGGGGAGGGGGGAATCCAGCCCCTCCCCCTGTCACGGCAGAGAGCCGTGACAGGATCGAGAGGTGAGCGAACGCCGGTATATGTTCGCTCACCTCCCGATCTACTGAGCCGACCTGTGACAGTCTCATTGTCACAGGTCGGCTAGAACTATGAGGTGAGTGAAAAGCACTCACCTCATAGTTCTCCTTTTAAAGTGTTTGTGAATCTGCATGAAACACAGTAGAACCTTCTTGATGGAGAAGGTATCTGCATGTCTCAGATCAAAGGGATTTATTCCTCATGTTGCTTATTTTTCCCTGGACAACAGTACATCCAGAGCTGCTGATTTTAGTACAGCTACAGGCTACTACATGGCTAGTTGACCATTATCAGTACAGTGTTTCTATGGAGTAAGGCTAACAGACTGGCACAACTATTCTTTAAGCCAAGCCCATCAACCTGTCTGGTTATACCATCAAATCTGTGTGAGCTATTCTTGTCATCCAGACACCCCTACCAGACAGTAAAGTTAGATCCCAGGCCTCCACAGAAGCAGCAGCTCGGCTTGATCACGAACACACTCAGTTTGCTCGTTGGACAGAGAAGGAGCATCTGTGCACCGATGGGGCTTATTCTGCGCTCTGCTCTTGTCAGCATATGTTGTGTAAGAACATGTGCAAGCACCAGAGCCTGATTGGCTGATAGTGTTAGAATGTTAATGAATACATAACTGCCATCATTTTACTAGTACCTGCCTGGACTTCAGCTCTAAGTACTACTCCCTTTATTTCCTGCTATAGGAGGTTTCGTTATTTGAGTTTAGCATCCTTTTATAGTGATGTTCTGAGTTGCTGAATGATACTGGAACCTGTCATGCCTAAATTTTCCTTTGGCTGACCTACTGGGTTTGCCATGGTGACCTGCAAACAGGACTTCAGTATGGCTGCCCAAAGACAGGTCATATTGCCCTAGTCTGGAACTGGTTGCTTCTGTGGCTGGGCCTCACTCCGTATATGACTAATGGATGCACCCTAATTACTTTTCATGGTGACCAGCAAAACAGGACTACAGTAAGGCTGCCCGTAGACAGGTCATATCGCCCTAGCCTGGAACTGGTTGCTTCTGTGGCTGGGCCTCACTCAGCATATGACTAATGTATGCACCCTAAGTACTTTTCATACGTCATTCTTCCAAGTTCATCTCCAATTACACAGCGACTTTTAACCAAGTTGGATAATGTCTGGGTTCCAACCACAAATTATTGCACCCAGACATTATCCAACTTGTTTAAAAGTCTGTGTAATTGAAATGGCTGCTTTCGGCGGACGGCCCTAAGCTGCTACTTTAATCAATGCTTTCAGAAGAATGACCTAAGCTGCTTGTTCTCCCCCTATAGGTATGCCATTTTGTGAGTTCTAGGATTTTTATAGCCACCCTTAAGTATTAACACAAGTATTAGTCGCTGAACTGACAGTTGTCCATTGGACTGGGTATTGGGCTGCTTTCAGGGTGTGAGGAGACTTGTATTGGTGAATTTCCTGAAAATGTTTTTCCTCTTGCAGGAGTGGTCTGGAACAAGAAGACATGAGAATATTGTATAAATACCTCACTACATCGCTCTTCCCCAGATGCATAGAACCAGAGGTAAGAACAAACTTGAACCTAGCTTATGTTAACGTAAACCTGTAATGAGAGATATGATGCTTGATGTTGTGGACCTCTACCAGGAAACCAGAAAGTACCCTGGCACAATCGCCTACTGGCACAATCACCAGTTCATTACACATAATAAAACAAAACAAATTATAAGTAAAAGGTAAAATGGAAGGTTTCAGAAGAATTTGTAGAAACAGTTAAATTATATTTTTTGATTTGGGTTTACGAACACTTTAATGAAGTTGAAAAATGATGCAGATCAGGATATCTGCATATTTATTCACAACTTGTCTGATCGATAAGTCTTTTTGAGATGTGTCCCGTTGCTGGAGGTGCACTACTTTCTTGCTGCTTTATAGTAATACTTTTTTATGCATTTTTTTGGGTAACCTCAATGCCCCTAATTATTGAAAAAAGTTCTTCTTTCTGCCCTTAGTGTAATTATGCTGTTAACTGCTTACATTGTTTTTAGTTGTTCCTGACCGGTTTTAGTTTTTGGAACCTTGTTGACTTTTTACTTTTTACTAGGTAGATATGTAATATTTCTTTCGGTGAGTCCTCAGCACCTTGCCGTAATGACTCTTGCATAGTTTTGCCTATTTGCCATATACTACTTCACCTTTCCTGTCCAAAAATTTGACTCTGCAGATGGTGTTGCACATGCTTGTATGAAGGTAGTACAAAAAAAAAACCTACCACTTGTACAGATAGAGCATCATAACCTATCCATAATACCATATCCAGACACTCTTAAGCTGCTTCTCAATTGTTTGCTCTCAGGGGATGGCCCTAAGCTGCTCCTCAATCATTGCTTTTAGAAGATGGCTCTAACCTGCCCCTCAATCGTTGCTTTCACAGGACAGCCCTAAGCTGCGCCTCAATCATTGTTTTCAGAGCACTGCTCTAAGCTGCTTCTCAATCGCTGCTCACAGGGATTCCTAAACTGCTCCTCGATCGCTGTCCTAAGCTGCTCCTCAGTCATTGCTTTCAGAGGACGGCCCTTAGCTGCTCCTCAATCGTTACTTTCAGAGGAATGCCCTAAGCTGCTCCTCAAATGTTGCTTTATGAGGCGACCCTAAGCTTCTCCTCAACCATCAGGGTTTCTCTATTACAGACAGGCACAGACACTGTTTCTTCTTTTCACTGAGATTGTTAGTCACTTATGCTCCATGCATCCCTTAGTTTTTCCTTTCCTCCCTACATCCACAAAATCTTTTCAATGTTGCTGTAAAGAAGATAATATCCAAACATCCTAGTATGAAGAACAGTAAAACGTTACTTGTATCAGTTCAGCTCTCAAACAAGATGACTGCAATCTAATCATCTTTTTCATATTAAATGATAAATTATTATTCTATGTCTCTCTCATTATAATGTCCTCTAGGGTTCTCTCTCAATTATATCTCAATATTTCAATATATCTCCCTCCCCTATGTTTTCTCCATAAGGGAGCAGTACTGTCCTCCCCGATAAGGGATAGTGGCTCAATCTTAGTTGGTTGCTGAGTTCTGTCTTAATCTGAAAAGCAGCATCACTCTTTCTTCATCCACAGTCTGTGTCTGCTTTGAATGATTGTTTTTTTACCTTTTTAGCTAGCTGGAAGAGATTCTCCCATACGTCCTGAGATGCCTGGAAATCTACAGCACTATGGAAGGTAAAGCACTTTCTTAACCCCATAATCTGGATCCAGTGTCCAGATACTTTAAATATGATATCCAGGCAAACCACTAGATCAGGGATGGCCAAACTCCGGCCCTCCAGCTGTGGTGAAACTACAAATCCCATGAAGCATCTCTCTCCGGGAGTTATGTCTGTGGCTGTGAGAATCTTTCAAAGCCTCATGGGATTCGTAGTTCCACCACAGCTGGAGGGCCGCAGTTTGGCCATCCCTGTGCTATGTAGAAGAAATACACATATGGGTGCTATTTTACGTGCCAAAGTATTTGTATTTTTGAACATTTCGTTCTGAGATTTGCACGGCTCTGCTGCAAAGCACAGCCCTGCCTGGCAGGGTGTAATACCTAACTTATTTCTGCTGCAGCTAAGTAACACTTTGAAAATTACGAGTCTTCTCTTGTATTTGCGGAGCACAGGCTTAAATAGGGCCTTACCCTTAGCAACAAGCCATGAGTCGGCTCTCTTTTACATATGGAAGGAGAATCTGATGTTTCTATAAGCAACAATGAGATTATTTTCTTTATTCAACTTGCAAAGCACATTACAATGTATTATTAGAAGGGTTTGAAGTCGTTACTATTTGAAGTTTGTGTGTGCGTGTATATGTGTGTGTGTATATGTGTGTATGTGTATAAATATATATATATATACACACGTTTTCTTATTTAAATACTTTGTTTTAGGTTCCTTACTGGACCCCTGAACCTCAATGACCCAGAAGCCAAGTTTAGATTCCCCAAAATCTTTGTAAATACAGAGGAAACGTATGAGGAACTTCACTTGATTGTTTACAAGGTGATGTATTCCGCTTGATTCTCTAGCCTGACTGTGTAATTGTAACAGTGATCGAGATATGCAAGGAAACTGTGAAATGTGGAGTTCCTTCCTGATCGCCTTACAGTTTATGGACTTTTGAAGCCCAAAAACATTGCATTTGGTATATTCAAGCTGCATCAAAGCAAAAGGTGTGCAAAGGCTTATAGTTCTGCCGATGGCTGCTTTAGAAAGAAAGCAGTATATAAGATATTGAATACCTTTCGTGGTCATGCACCTGGAATGCACTTCGCTGAACTGAAGGGTTCAGGGTGCACAAAAAATTCCCCTAAAAAGAGATTTAACCATTTCCTTTGCTTATAGAACATATGGAGCCGATAGCTCTAAGGTTAATTTACAATTGTGACGGTTTGCTAGAAGTCTAATTTCTCGCATGTGTCTCATGTCATTTTATATGCACAGGGCATTTTGGCTAAAGTGCTGGACTGCAAAACCCTTATTTAAGAAGCATTTGATCCATAAGGCCTTTGAGGGACAGCATCTCTTTGGACCAGCTCTTAACAGCAGCATCAAGGATGCTACTGTTAGAGAGAGCACCCATCTTCCTCAGCAGAAAAGAAATTATCTCCATCAGTTTAAAAATATTCCTTTCATTTCTCCACCTTTTCGATTCTCCAGCCCCCCACGTCAAGACTGCTCAAGCTTGCGTGCCTGTCCACCCGCAGGACCTGGCATCCTGTCTGCCAAATCCTCAAACAAGCTTTCCTCTCTGTAAAGGTGCACCCCCACTTTCCAAAGTGGGGGATATTTTTAATCTTTAAAGAGGCTTCGACAGCTTGCATCTTAGACGCAAGGGTGCAGGAGGTAGTATTTCAGAGCTCCAAGCTAAAGTTTTGTTCCCTGTCCCCTCCTCGGTTTCTCACCTCAAGCTTTCTTTGTTTTTCTGGCAAGTAGTGGGATTGCACATGTTCCATCTGCTTAATTCGCTCCTGAACTTGCCCAGGAATGCACAGGTCTACCACCCTATCCATACCTATCCTAACCAGTATTCTCCCACTCCATTTCATTCTACTGAATATCCGTCATCTTAAACATATTCAGATCGAAAAGAAAATTCAACAACAGTGTCCCAAACCCCAGTACCCACTTAGTTCAAGAGATAATGAAACTAGTTTGACAGCTGCGGTGGATTATCCAATAAGCTCTGCTGGCAACTATAAGATGCTGGTGGTTTAATTTGAAGCTTCTTTTGGATGTAAGCCTAATTGAGGGATCATATTTAGACCTGGCAACAAATGGCATCTGCGAAAAGTTCCCTTTTCTACTAATTGGAGAGGAGGGCTCATAGAAATATTTTTACTGACAATTTGCCTTTTAGGGCCCATTCACACTGTTGCGCTGCATTAGTACATGCATGTTAACATGCATTTGAGTACGCTGCCTGTCGCACCAAAACTCACTAAAAAAAAAAGCTGCATGCAGCTGCATTATTGTGCTGCAGGTACGTTGGGTTGTATTAGGAATCCGTGACTTAACACCTTCATGAATGCTGATTCTGTTCAGAAAAAGACGAGCAATCGCAGCCCTCCCATTTCTTTCATGATCGACTGTCAACATGAAAGAAAGCTTTATTTTTCCCTTTGGACCCTCAGGAAGTCTCTGGTATGTACATCCACAGTTGTTGCATGTCAGATCCGGTTTACTAGTGCTAGCTGATCTAAAACCGAATAGGGAACAGTGGAGAATCGTCCAGAAATTTCCAGACTGATGGATATTTCTTGCTCTGACACCATTCCCGATGAGAACATTGCCTTCTCTGTGGGCCAAAATGTTCAATGAGAGAACAATTTGTTGTCACCTATAGCAACTGGATTCTCCTTTCTCCAGTGATGCACTGAAGCAGTAACGAGAGAATATGATTGGTTCCTGTACAGCAGGGGTGCCCATAAGGTCCATTGCGATCTACCAGTCGATCGCATAGCGATCAGTGGTTGATCGCGATGGCCTCTCCTCCCGCCCCCAGTGCTTCTCTGGATCCCCGCTGCTCTCCCCCATCTGTATGCAGCGGGGATCTGAGAAGTGCAGCAGCCCGCGGCGGAGGACAGAGCCGCTGTCACAGAACTAAGGCCGAGCGGTGAGGAGAGAGACACTCGGCCTCTCTCCCCTCACCGCTCTGCTTTAGTTCTGTAACAGCGGCTCCGCCCCCCCCCCCCCCACCCCCCCCCCCCCCGTGGCTGCAGCGCTTCTTTCACTTCTCCTCGGATCCCCGCTGCCTCTGCTCGGGAGAGCAGCGCGGATCTAGAGGAGAAGCTGAGCCCCCCTGTGCGTGGCAGGGGATCCGTACATATCAGTGATATCGATCGATCCTATGTGCAGGACAAACACTGGAGCGATCAGCTGATCACAGTGTTTGTAAATAACTGGGGACACATAGTACTATGTGTCCCCAGTTATAAATGAACAGGATGTGATTCACTTCCTGTTCATTCATGAGTTTCTCAATGGGGAGAAGCACTACTCAACCATTCAGAAACTGGATGATAGTAAAATATTTTCTGAATGAATAGGAAGCCTCTGTGCTTTCCATTCATTTTGAACAGGAGCTGCAGAAAAAGAGATTGAGGGCTTTGTGTCCTCAATTTCTTTTTCTAACAGGAGGACAGGACGCTGGGGCCTTTAGGACGCACTGGAATGTAAGCCGGCCGACTTCCTGCGTTCAGGGGCGGGAGGGGGTGTGGGGTTGTATTGAAGTCAATGGCACCGCAGCCATACCCCCCGCCCACAGTGCGGTCGCCCGCACCCGGAAAACAGGCACATTAGTGCCTGCATTACGGTCCAGTGCAATCTGCAAAAATAGTGCTTGCAGCATTTTTCTCGGATCGCACTGGACTGGAACGCAGGCACTAATGTGCCTGGGTTCCAGGTGCAGTCGATAGCACTGTGGGCGAGGGGCCTGGCTGCGGTGCCATTGACTTCAATGCCCCGCCCCTGAATGCAGGTGTTTTTTTGTTGGTAGATCTCATTGAGCTCATCATTTGAAAAGTAGATCTCCAGGCGAAAAATTGTGGGCGCCCCTGCTGTACAGGATTGTTTGCAGTCGTGTAACTGTGAAATCACTCACGAGGTTGTTCTGCCATTATAAATATTATTAGTTGCTGTTTAAGCCATATTGTCCTTTAGGATTAGTGACCCTTTTAATCTTCCAGCTCAGCGCAGTACAGTAACCTTGGCGGGGGCAGTTGAGCAGGCTTCGTATTAGCCGTGTCTTGAATCAGCAGCTGTATGTCACAGTGAGGACTGTGTGACATTACTGTCTAGACAATGAGCGTGAATGAGCTGCCATTGAAGCCGCCCCCTGGGGAACTCCTAAGCCTTTGTTTCCGCGTATGATAAAATTAGAAAGTACAACATGGATTCCCCTGACAGCATTGTGTGTAATGAAGATGTAATTGTTGTGGTGCATCTAGCCAGGATAACAGATGGCTTGGTGGAATAGTAACACTTCTGTAAATTCTAAACCAGTTCTTGTTTTTCATTACAGGCCATGAGTGCCTCGGTGTGTTTTATGATCGATGGTGAGTATGAAGCTTGCAGGAAACATAATCCATCCATTCACGGGGGGAGGGTTTACGTTGAGTGACATTTGTATGACTTTTCTTTTGCGTGATCTACCCCTATACTAGCAAACATCAGTTAGCTGCTATTTTTATTTTTTATTAGCCACAGTCATGAGAAACATGATTTTAACTAATGATATCTTCCTCCCATTGTATTTAGCTTGTTGTTGAATGTTGTTGGTACTGATCTCCAATGTGATCGCATCTGATTATAATTCTCCAATTTTTGTGCAGGGGCTCTTTTATGTCAAATAGTTATTCTTGCCAGTGTATGAGCCTCTTTGCACACAGTGACTTCTTGCAGAGAACATGTTTAACTTGCTATTGTAATGCTGAAGATTTGGTTTCTTTACCTTTGCTATATTTTGAGGCTTAAAGCAAAGTCATAGGGACTGGTCCAGATGTAAATAATTTATTACAGCAAAGTTTTAACAAGCGTTTACAGCCAGTTTCAGGAGTTGTACTCAAATCCGCCTTTTATCAGGGCTTGGTTTTATCATGCAATTGGAATTTGGACAGGTGGTTGTTCTTGGTTACTGTGGTTAGGGACTTGCTCGGTGAGTTCCCTGGAAAAGCTCCTAACCACAGTTTGCGAGGAAATAAAACTCCAGAGTAACCAACCATTCAGATTTCAGTAGCATGATAATACTAAGCTCTGATAAAGGGGGATTTATATTGAGATTCTCCAGCTTAACTTAAAGTGTATCTATACCCAAACTTTTTTGAATGGGGAAAGGTCAGCTTTCTCTTCTGACAAAACGTTTTCTTTAACTCTTGGCGCTAATGGCTGCCAGCTGAACAATCCACTTGCTGTTGCACACTCAAAGTTTTCAACAGTTTATCACAGCTTTTCACACAGACTCGAGGGGCTGCTCATCCACATTTTGGGGCCTCCACCACGAACATAGAAAACAAAAGCGAACACAGCGCCACCTCCGTGTGTAAAATCGTTTATTACAATAAATAAGACAAGGGATTAAAGTACTTGCAAACAAACGTTTTCATCAGGCTTTAACAACAAACGAGAGGCCACACTGTCTGTTAACCCAACATGGTATCGCCCCGACTATGTAACACGGTAGCCTCCGGTCACATCACCGTCCACCGACCACAGTCAGCCAAGATTGACGCGTTTCAGGGGCAAGCCCCCTTCATCAGAATCTCTTCTATCCAGGGCTCCATTAGAGACTTTTCCCTTTTATCTGTTATGGGAACAACATTTTTACCAGACAGGAAGTGAAGGAATCTCTAACAGAGCCTCTCATGGCAGTGGAACCTTGCAGAGGTTCTAATTCTTCCCCACTCGATCGAAAAATTAAAAGTCTTGATAGAAACAGTTTAGAAATGGAGCAGTCAATGATGTTGCTCATGAATAAAAAGGGAGGAACTCCAAAAATGTACACCAGAGAAATAATAAAAAGAGGAGGGACCAGAGAGCCCTTATGGTATAGTAGGCTGTATGTGTCTTAAATCTGTTGATTTGAGATAAAGGTTACATCTGTTGAAGTTGCGAGTAACCAAGAAGTATGGTAGAGGCAACCTTCCAGAGGGACTTGTGGAGAATATAACTGAAGGGAGATGATTGCTCTCGATGCCTAAAGGGGTCCCAATCCTCGGTCTACATTCTGAGGTCTACCCCACCTCCAAAGAAAATAAAAGTATTATTATTTCTGTGTTACTGTTGCTTAAAGGAGAACTATGGGGTCAGTGTTTTTCCCCATAGTTCTCCTTAGGGTAACGGGAGGACACAAACTAGCGTCCTCCCGTTACCCTAAGCTCAGTATACCGCGAGCTACAGCTCGCGGTATACTGAGACGCCGCAGCTGGTGCGGATCCCGACTTAGATGACGGGATCCGCCCAGCTGCGTGAGTGACAGCTGGCTCTGCCTATCTAGAGGCAGAGCCAGCTGTACCCGCCCCCTCCCCCGTCCCTTCCGCCAGGCAGCGCTGGCAGATTGGAGCGGGGAGAGGGGAATCCAGCCCCTCCCCCTGTCACGGCAGAGAGCCGTGACAGGATCGAGAGGCGAGCGAACCCGGTATGTGTTCGCTCACCTCCTGATCTGCTGAGCCGACCTGTGACAGTCTCATTGTCACAGGTCGGCTAGAACTATGAGGTGAGTGAAAAGCACTCACCTCATAGTTCCCCTTTAATTTCCTCTCCCGTAAATAGGTTTTCCCCTGAACAGTAAGTAAGGGGAACTCTCTGTAGTGGAGCTCTGGATAGCAGTAAAACCTGACACGGCTTAAAATCTTCCTCCAAAAAAACAATCCAGCTATAGATACACTCTGAAGACCCCTGTCAGATATAGACATCGTAATATACTGTTAAAAGTGTAAAGTACAGGTTTACTTTAGGGAACACGATGGAATATTCATTCGACATTGAGGCTGTTCTCTGTAATAGAAGTTTCAGGAGTTTTTTATGACCTTAATGTAACAACCCCGAAAATGTTTTGTTGGAAGATGTTAAGCACCTAGAAATAGAATTTGAAAGATTTGAACAGAATGTAATGGGTTACATTTCCTAGCATGAACTGCACATCAACCTGCTGTCACTGTGCTGTTAAACTGTTTGACCCTCATTACTTTAGAATCAGCATAGAACTATGCAAAGCTGCCCTATAATAAGCTTGCAAATACCCCACTGTGTTTCCCCCTCTCTTCTTACTCCATGTCAGCATGAACACTTGGCTCCTGGTTTCTGCTGAAACAGAGCTATATCCTCCTCCCCTGTTGCTCTGCAAAACCATGGTGTAAGGATCTAGAAATGGAATGAGATCTAGAGGAGTGGACTTAAAGTGGCATAGATCTCTACTTCAGCTACAAAATGCATGCACTAATAATCCCATTCAATATGTAGATTTTGACCTGTCAGTTTCACTTATAGATCATCACAGGTGGACTGAGTCACCAAAATGCATTTTACAGCTGTCAGGGCCTCCAACAAAAAGATCTCCAGAATTGTTCTGTTCTCACTTGCCATGGAATGCCACTGTTCTCCTAATGCATTCTCTGTAGCAGTTCAACAGGGAGACTGAGACTTGCAGGTCCCCAGCAGTTGAGCTGATGCAGATATGTTGCTACTGGAGTCTCTGGGAGATCTAACAAACTGGCTATTTTTACTACTGAGATGAAGGGCTACCTCTTTCTGTTAAGGGGATTTGGATGCCTCCATGACCTAAAGAGATGCTGGTAGACGCCTTGTGCCCCTGGTAGGATCAGATAGGTGAAAAGATGCAGTCCAGAATAAGAGCAACCCCCCATGTGACCATAAGAGCTATGCTAGCTTGAAAACCCATTGTACAATGTCTTTAATATCTACCAACAACTATGTAGTATGAGGGCCTGCCTGACTGGATACCAATTAAATGAATTCCTAAGACAGGTCTTTACATTACACGGCTATTGGTAGATCTAAAGGAGATTATACAACAATGTAAAAATCAGATTGCAGTGTGTGGCAATCTTTAGATTTACCAACAAGTATGTGTTGTGAAGGTCTACCTACCTGGGTATAAATTAATGGAATGTTTAGGTAGGCCCTCAAATTGCATAGTTGGTGCTAAATTTTAAGGAGATTATTTAGTAGGAAACCTGTGTACAGTTTAAGAGTAATCTACCAGTTTTCTGGGGGTGTGGACTCAAGGCTAGTAGTGCTGGCACATAAAAAAGGGGCACATTTATTAGGCAAAGTGACATTTACCAAACAAGCAGTGCAGGCGAATCAGTCACTGTAATTGAAAACACATGTGCAGAAAGATATGCCTGCAGACAATGTTTGATGTCACGTAATCCCCAAAGTGTTACAGAACCTACAGTGCTACCCTACATGGGTGTAATAAACAATGATGATCATGGGTGATTTCGACCGCTTTAGTTGTATACACCCTTAGGCCCCACTTCTTTTACGATTGTTATAGATGCCTGGCTGTTTTACGCTGTTGCCAATGGTTTTTGTTAGGGATGCACTGATGCTGATAATTTTTTACCGAATACCGATACCAGAAGTCCAATTAAGGAAGCCGGGCGGCATGTAATGACTCTGCCCCCCGGCTTCCTGATTGGTTGGGAGGCCCAGCTCTATGCTCCCTGGTGACGGAGCATGGAGTCAGCTTCCCGGCCAATCAGGAAGCCACACAGCGTTTAATGACTAATTCCTGATTGGTCGGGAAGCCGGCTCCATGCTCCGTCACCAGGGAGCATAGAGCTCAGGTGGCGTGTAATGACTCACCGCCCGGGTTCCTGATATCAAAAGCTCTGGTATCGGGAACATATGGGCAAGTATGAGTACTCGTTCAAATACTTGGTATTGGCACTGATACTAGTATCGGTATCGATACAAATGTTGGGATTGCTCGATCCACCATTGTAATCCAAGCCCAAGCATTAGTTGTATGATGCTCTTGTGTTTCATGCATAATTGTGACCATTAATGGGTCCAGTAGATTGTGCTACATTTGTATTGTTTAATGCACATGGAGGAGACGACATATAATTATTGGTATAGAATGTCAGCTGTGATGGAGGAAAATGTGCTTATTTTTTTTTCTGTCTCTTTATCTCTATAGCCTCTGTGCAGCTAACACCGGATTTCTGTAGAAAACTGGATAGTCTTGTAGGACCTCAACTAACAGTGTTGGCTTCGGACATCTGTGAGCAGTACAACATCAACAGACGAATATCGGGGTATGTAACAAGGGGTTGTTTGTTGTCTTCTACGGTATATGTTTAATGTAGTGTCCCAGAAAATAACAAGGAGCAGTGATTTATCCTTTTTGGCATAATTATGGTGCAAGAAGCATGTCTGTAGTCCAGTGGTTGTCCTTTATCTGTGTTAGCTGTTTGCTTGACCTCCTGGTGAAAGATCTTCTTGTTGAAAACCTTTGGTGATATAAGAAGCCACTGAATGATTTTACTTGCCTTCATCAACCCATTGCTGAAGTAATAATTAAAAGTGAACTTAATAGTTAATCTTTTGGTACAATAAAGGTGCTGAACAGGCTGCAGGGCTACAAAGCTGGCACCGAGTGGTTCCTTCACATATAGTTATGCACTTTGTTTAGCTCCCTGAATGACCTGATGGGGTGCTATATTGAGCATGGGTTGACACTGGCTGGTAATGTCATGAGCAATGCCAATTCTCCCACAGGTTCCAATTGGCCCAGCATTATAATAGACAGCCTTTCTGGCCAATAGGAACATGTGGGTGGGGCAGTTGAGTTAGCGCTCAACCCTACAACTTGATGATAATTGTGCAGTCTAGAACCCAGGGGTTTGGGCCATTAGCAGTGCTGCAGAAAGCATAAAGGTAAGTGCAGACATGGCTTGGTGACTGCATCATGTTCAGGACCTTTGCAGTACAGGCAAGGTCTACTTTAGGTCCACTCATGCTGGTGTTTCAGTTTTTGGTTGATACAGACAGATGCAGTCTCCCAGTGGCTTCTTATATCTCTAGGGGTCTTACCAATCCCTGTTATTCACCTTAATACAGCTTGTGCTGCCATCCCTCTCCCACCCCATTCAATCTACACTGAAATAATCGTGCAATGTTGGTAGAGCTGGCTTTGCAGGTTTATATGATTCTCGGATGGTTTGCTTCCCAGAAAATGGTGGGGTCATGCCTTGGAAAGCTTCTGCTGCTGCTGCTTATTAAGTTGCATCACTTTGTGGGTTTGTTTTTTGTATTGGGGATATGTTAATTAGAAGAACTAGCATGGTCTTGATGTGATGTCCTCCATGTCTTTCTCAGAAGTGTAACGCGTATTTTTTCTCTCTGTTTGCTTCAGGTCAGAGAAAGAACCACAGTTTAAATTTATTTATTTTAACCACATGAACCTAGCAGAAAAAAGTACAATACATCTCAAGAAAACTCCAAGCATCTCACTGACTTCTGTACAGCCAGAACTAATGAAGATACTTGGGGACATAAATAGTGATTTTACAAGGTTTGTTCCTTCAGGGTTTCTACCCACATTTTGTTTTGCGGGTTCTTTGTCGCTCCCAGATCCACACCTTAGGATTTAAGAAATCTGTGCTTCACCTTAATGGAAACTTGTAAAGAGAGAAAAAGGAGGCTGCCATAACAGAATATTCTGAATTAACCCTCTGCACACTGCTATGCTCCCTCACGTATTTCTAACAAACGTTTGCATGAAAACAGGGAGACTTGGTTCACATATGTTGCTATACATTTTCTAGCTAGCTAGCTGTGTTAAAGTAACCCATCTCAAGGTAGTCCCTACTCTGCAAAATGTTAAATTTGTACTTGCTCATCACTTACTTAAAAGAGAACTATGTGGTAAGTGTTTTTATACTGAGACAGCCGCAGCCGGGAACGATCCCGACAATGCTGTCGAGATCCACCCAGCTGCGTGAATGACAGCTGGCTCTGCCTATCTAGAGACAGAGCCAGCTGTACCCGCACCTCCTCCATCCGTTCCTCCAGTCAGCACTGAAGGATCGGAGAGGGGGAATCCCTGAGGGGAGAGGTGACTGACAGTCAACGCTCTCTGCAGGGGGATGATCGAGAAATGAGCCAGCGAAGGTATGCGTTCGCCCACTTCCTGATCTGTTGAGCTGACATGTGACAGTTTAATTGTCGCACGTCGGCTTGAACTATGAGGATGAGTGATTTTTACTCACCTCATAGTTCTCCTTCCTTTAATGCACATATAGTACCAATTATGGGATAAACTGGCACAGTTGGAGAAGATGTATAGACCCCGGTCTGGTCACTGACCGGCACTATATAATAGAACTGTAGAAATATTTGTGCTCAAATCCAAATACCTGACATGTGTAATGTGCTGGAGTGGTGTGACCACATGATAACTCTGTAGATTCTGCAACGCCCTTTATCAATACTATACCCCTTTTACATCTTACTAGCAAACTTTTTTGCATACAAACAGGGATTCTTGATTTACATATATTGAAATACATGTTCAAGCTAGGCAACCACATCAAAGTGATCCCTCTCTGTGTCCTCCCATGACCCAAAACTCAGCATATAGCGGGCTATTGCCTGCTATATTCTGAGAGCGCTGCAGCCGGGATGCATCCCGACAATACCATGGAGACCCACCCTGCTGGCTGATTGACAGTGGGCTCTGCCTCTCTACAGCCAGCTGTGCCCACTGCAGTCAGCACTGAAGGATCGGAGAGGGAGGGTGGGAGCTGTGACTGACAGTCACCTCTCTCTGCAGGGAGATGATCGGGAAGTGAGCGAGTCGGCGGTATGTTTTTGCTCACTTCCAGATCAATAGAGCCGATGTGTGACAGTTTTAATGTCACACGTTGGCTCTAGCTATGGAGATGTGTGTAATTCACTCAATCCATAGTTCTCCTTTAATTATAGCCATTATTGACCACCTCCTGAAAATGGTAGCTGACTGACCTTTGTTTCTAACCTATTTTCAGTACACCAGGAACAATTATTCAGACCAGGAAGGTCAGCAGTCCTTACCCACATACTTCAATGTATTGAAGCCAGGGGGACAGCCATTTAACTAACATTTTTAGTAATAGAGGCTGACAATAACAGCCACAATGTTTCCCTCATGACAGGATTTGTTGTGATACACATTGTGCTGGGCTCTACACTCTGTAAAGACCCTTATGCAACCTTACACCAAATCAACTTTTAATTGCTTCAACATATAATTACAGCTGAAAAGAAAGAAATCCTTTGTCGGGAAATCCAAGAGTTTTATTAAGCCTGTCACTCTGCAAAGTAAATTGACAGGCGAGAAACTTAAAGCTTAAACTTTAAGTAATATCCAGTGTGTTTTAGGGGCTTAACCAGTCCCCTACATCAGGGTTTGTGCAGGTAAGGTTGAAAGAAAGGTGAACTGTGAGCAGGTATCCCGAAAAGTACATTTCTCTAGCACAGATTAAGTGCCTGCTCTGGTTGCCAGTCTAGCAGCTTTTATAGACCAGCACCCAGAGCAGGCCCTTTAATCCAACCTATTTTAGGATGCCAACCTCAATCCAGCTTTCTTCAAACCCTCACCTGTTGAAGCCCTGATGAAGAGGGATCTGTGAATCCCACGAAATATGCTGGATATCACTTATACTCTTATGGATAACACTTCTACTCTATACAACTCACTACTGGAAATTCAGTGACCTCAGATGAAAGTATATTGCCTTATCTCTGCGTTTTTCTGTTTTCCCATTCAGAGAGATCGCTGGCATGCTTCCTGCATAAGATCACATAATACTTGCCATGTTATGACTGGTTGGCTCTGCCCTCACCTTTTCGGGGACTGCTGCTCTTCTTGTCTTGTTTTGCTTGTCTTGCTCTGTCTTTCTCCCTCCCCCTTGTATGCTTTTTTTTTTTCTTTTCTTTTTCTGTAATATCCTTGTTGACACTTCGGGCCTTCTCCATCTGAGTTCCTGGGACCCCTCTTGGGCACTGTGTGTCTGCTCCCAATGTAGTCTAAAGTGGTGTGATTTGCACATGCACTAGCGTCACTCCACACGATGCATTTTTGAGGCTTATTTATATGCTTTCTTGTTCCTTTTGGTGATGTAACTTACTACATCACTATACGATTGCACTGTGTTTTGTACTTTTTTTACTTTAAATAAGAAAATTGAAGTGGAAAATGTGTTGTCCTCCTCCTATTTGGGCCCATCACATCAAAGAGAGCAGCCTCTTATCCAAAATATCAACAGACCTAAATACCTACCAAAATCCTGATCCGGCTCTCCACTAACATATCTTCAACTGTATTTTCTAAGTGGGTATTTCTTCTTGCTGTGGAGAGAATTCCTCTAGTTTCCTCTTGTGTTTTGGGGACAGGACAGGAAGAAAAATCGTTCTTATAAGACACAGGCAAAAAAACAAACTGATTGGGTCCTAAATATTCCCTATTCAGTCCAAAACACAGAATGGTTTGGCTATAGATACCCTTTAAAGAAAATCAGAGCAAATGTTAATACAATACAATACAATATTATATTATGCCAAACAGCAAGGGGGATTTAAATATATGTAGAAGACATATTTGTGATTACTAGTCCTATTAAAAAAAATGCATTGGCCATATGTTGTGAAAACATTGTGTTTATTGGTTGCTTTATTCTGATGGATTTCCGCTTTTACAGAGCGGATGAAGATGAAGAAATCATAGTAAAAGCAATGAGTGATTACTGGGTGGTAGGGAAGAAGTCTGACCAGCGGGAACTGTACGTCATCTTGAACCAAAAGAATTCCAATCTAATTGAAGTAAATGGTGAGCACCAAATTTCTCAAAGTATATATCGTTCTTTTATATTGTCCAGAATTTTCCATATTGCTTGATAGGCACAGTAGCAGAATTCCTTTAAGTGCTGTTAGCATCTGATCAGAAAACAACCCATTGAAATTCCTGAAACCTTCAACCTTTTCCATGGGAAACATGCATGAGTTTTGCATGGTTCTGACAGCCATGCACATGTGAAAATTCACTTTTCCTTGGCTTGTCACAAAGGTCAAAATCAGAAGCAAAAAAACACTGACCAGGAGCTTTTCCTCCAGCGTGACGATGCAGTGGATTTTAAGAGTATACAGTAGACAGTATGGCTCTTACATCAGTTACTTAGAGAAAACCTTAGGAACTGGTGTGCTGTATTATGCAAATGGCAACCAGCTGCCTCCCATGGTCACTGGCTCTGGCCTGGCTTCATTCCCCTCATTATTGGTCCAGCATTATGGTATGTGGCTATTCTAACTAGTTATGAGGCAAGGAAGTAACAGGCCAGAGCTCATGATTATGGAAGCCAAACCCTATATGCATGTCAGAGCACAATGGTTTCATAAGCTTCTGGGATGTACACAAGCTCATCCAGTGTGCATGTACATGGAGTTGTTTTCTTTATGATGAGATAAGCAGTAAATAAAAACCTTTATCAAACTTAGATAAACTTTGACCTCCACTGTAAACACATTCACAGAACCGTTGGACCCTGCCACAACATATATATGGGAGTGGGGGCGCCGATGGTGTTCTTCCTAACTGATGTTACAGATTCCATTGTAGATATGTGTCCCAGTGTTTAAGCACTCCCAATGTTTGTGTGTTTTCTCATTAGTGTTTGGGAAAGGTCTAATCTTTGGAGGAATCTGCTCTAGAGCTCTGAGTTCCAAATTATTTATCCACGCATATCTCAGCATATGCCCGGTATGAGAAACACTGCTGGAACGGCTGCAATTGAAGTGCCACCCTTACTAACATCTCCATGCTATGCCTTTCTTAGTCAGGTCATGTTACCGGAATGGTTTCGTGTTTCTGTTCCATGCTAAACTTTGGACGCATTCCGAGACGTCATCAATATTCATCTCATCGTTTTTCAACAGATGGTGTTAATAATTAAAATCTAGGCTCTCTCTCACACCTTGACAAAGAAGGCATTTCTGCAGGCAGGTCTCATTTAGCAGGTCTCATTTCAGTGTGATAATCCCCCTCCCCTCCCTCCCCAGGGTATAAATGTCCTGATTAAACCTAAAGTGTCATTTTAGTCATTGCGGGTTCCAGTGTTGTCTTCCAAGTGTTTTGACAACCATTATTGTCACTTATTTAAATGATTGATGTGTAGGAAATGATTGATGTGCAGGAAATAGGTGCTTGCACTTATGTGTGTGTGTGTATATACGTCTGGGGTCAGACTGTAATTACATCTGCTAATGGATGTATGGGTATTAATAACTGCTACTCCTGTTTTCAGCCTATTAGATGTACAGTGTTATTACAAGCAATTCAATAAGTCTACAAGGTACTGTTGTGTGTAAAATTACCATATCATGCCATTCAAATTTTACAAAATCTACAGCCCTATCTGTGGAAAAATAGTGTCTCGTGTTCCTATGCCTTCACACCTGCACACCAATTTGTCTTTTTGTTCCTTTAAGGACCCACTTTACCTATCTTAGCTGAACAGGGTTGCAGCAGGATAAAAGCTCACTACCCATGATGCTAAAGGAGCTCTGCCACTTGGCTCTATAGAAGCTGTGAAGTCAGTCAAGATGATGTAATGGAGGGGCAGGGACAGACAGGTGGACTGGCCCTTTAAGAACCCAGAGTTATGCAGCAGTGTTTAAAAGTTGATTAGTATATAGTATTCTGATTATGATTATTATATGTAATCTTTCATGCCCTTTTTATTTACGTTTTTTTTTTCTTTGACATATAATCGTTTAATGTGTTCCAATTTTTTTTCTTCAGATGAAATCAAGAAACTATGTGCCACGCAATTCAACAACATCTTCTTCTTGGATTAACATCAACCTGGAATGTCTCTTGAGGCAACCCACGACAGCCATTTTGTTCACGCCGCACAGAATATCAGTCATATTATTGACTGGAATGACTGTTGTAAGGCAATAGTTGCCTTGTAAGAATCTACTTTCTACTCGGAGGCTTAGTAATCAGACCATTTTTAGATTTTACATATTTATCTGATCTGATCTCTCTTTGAACAATCCCATTCCATTTCTGTTACTGCAGTATGACGGCAAACAATAAATCCACTAATCATTGTTATACTTTTAACTGCCTGGACTCCACTCCGTTTAGTAAGCTCTGCGTTAAACAAATAATTGTCCTTCAAATCTTTCTTGCTATACAAGTGACAAAATCAGAAATACACTTACATTTTATTGCCCTGCAAGGTACATCAACACCAATCTAACAGATGCTCTTATAATAATGAGACAACCCCACTTATTGGTTACCCAAAAGGGATGGGGGCTTGCTAAGAACAGATGTGGGTTTAGGAAGGTGGTAGTGGCAGATGAGCCTGAATGACAGGGAATTGGCAGGATTTAAAGGATAACGCGAAATATAAAATGTTTTATTGACTCTCTTGGTTCATTATTTCTGTACAAACTTTTTAAGGACAACTCTTGCAGATTATCAGTAACCTTGCATACACTACACTGGCGAAAAGTTTGTGGATATCTGACCATCATACCTACCTATATGGCTTAAAGAATGTGGACACCCCACAAATTATTGGGTTCATGTGTTTTCAGTGAAGGATGCTGTTAATGTTACAGCATAGATGGACTTTTTAGACCATTGTGTGCTTTCAATGTTGCAGCCAGGTCTTCTCTTCCAAGTTTAGTACTTGACATCAAAATGCTCTTTTGGCTGAATGGGTACAAACTCCTACAAAAACTCTCAAACTATGTGGAATGCCCTCCCAGGAGAGTGGAGACTGTTTATAGTTGCAAAGCAGAGGGGGTCAACACCTTTGTAGAGCCTATGGTTTAGGCATGGGATGTCCCACACACACTCTTTAAGGTGTGATGGTCAGAAGTCTCAACCTTTTTGCTATGTAGTTAAGTGGTATGAACTTTTCTTTCTCACCCATTGAGGAACACACATGGATACTAAAACAGTTGGGATATATTGCTGCCTACAGGAGGTTGGGACACTTAAAAAAAAAAAAAAAAATTTAGCCACCCCCCATATAAGCCATATTCTAACCGACAGGCCTCCAGTGTCCTATGAAGTTGGGCTTTTTTTTTTATCCAGCTCTGCTGATTTTTGTGTTTAGTCTTCTTTGTTTTGCATAATGTTTTCACTGTGTTTACTCTTTGACACAACTGCTTAGGCTGGCCTTTTACCTGCTATTCAGCCTGGAGGAAGCACTATGCTTACTGGTGTTCCTGCTCATGAAGCACTATATGGATTTTTGGTCTCTGGTCTGTTTCCACTGCCGGCCAACAGTAACCTGATCACTTCTGGCCATCAAAAGTTCTCCGCACCAGCTGCCCAGGTTTGAGTACCTAAGGCCTTGCTTCACATTGGGCCTAGTTGCATTATCCACTGCATGGACGCAACATATCTTAAGACTTAGAAAGGACAGTCCCGCAGTCATGGTTGGCCTCTGCTTATACTTCCCCAGTGATTATGGAAGCATTTACTTGGTTTCCGCAGAAGAAACTGGTCCCTGTAATCTGGAACTTGGGACCTCTATTGTCATAGGATCATCATTATTGGAGCCTTTCTCAGCTTGGTTGGGCAAGGCAGAGGCATTCACATATGCCCAAAGGGACCTCCGTGTCCACTTTTTAGCTGTTTGTGCTCCATTGCTGGGGCATGCAGCCAACAGATGCTCTAAGCTTGCTTCGGTGCTATCCCCTGTAGAGTCTCTCTCTGGTCCTCTTAAGTCCTTAAACCAAGCCGGGTCTGTGGTCTCTTTCACCATCTCTGACTTGGGTTCAGAATAGGGTTGCCACCTTTTCTTCAAGCAAAACCCGAACACTCTAGCGACGCGCAGACATTTTTTTGGAGTCGTGGCTTATTCATATGTAAATAGCGCCACCCATTCATAGGTAAATATCACAGTCAAGACTGTACAGTGAAGGGCCAGTAGCCCCTATCTTAATTTTGGTTGCCCCTGTCTGCCTGACATCTTGTGTTCAGGTTTCTGCTGCCATGAAACCCGAACACAGCATTCAAAACCCGAACTGTCCGGGTGAATCCTGGACAGGTGGCAAGCCTAGTTCAGAATCCCTGCAGTCTGTCTATAAAGAGAATGTATTTGAAGCACCACAGTCTCCTGTGAGTTGTTTTAATCCTTTATTGATGCAGTGAGTATTATCCTGCACCTGGAGGATCAGCCTACTTTTTCCAGGCATTGGGTCTTTTAGGGCATACAAAACTGCAACGACCTTTCCATTACACCTGCCATTTGAAACAATGTGGTGGCTTGCTACAAGCATCTTAGTTTGTGTCTTGCATGGGACTAGGGCTGCAACAACTAATCGACATAATCGATTATAATCGATTATTGGAAAAGTTGTCAAACTTATGTCGGTACAAATGCACAGAATAATTTGGCTGCGTGGTTGGAATGCTGAAGTAGTATCCAAGAAGCATCTGATTTCATTGTTCTTTGATGTATGTCATTTCTTCAGTCCTGCCCTTGACACTGTTATTAGTAATGTCACACATGGCCAAAGTGTCCCTTTGCGTCAACACAGGAGGTCTGTAATAGGGTTGGCAGAATCCCACCCTTTTCCTTCATGTAGAATCATGGAGAATTCATGGAGAATACTATAGCATTGGGTGTTGTTGAAGCCCTCATGATACCTGGTATCCCTCAGCATCCCTCCTCTCCAGAGGGACTCCCTGACCCACAAGGTCGACTGAGACCAGTTTTGGCTGTTTCCTACGTATCTTAAAAAGGGTCTGGCCCCTAAGTATCTTTCAGAAGCACCTGCTATTTCTCAGAGCACTGGACTTTGTGTCTATCATAGTGTCCTTTCCTGGAATACGCATTATAGGAAGCTCAGCCATGAAGAGGTGAAAAAGAGGTCTACATCCTGTGTGTCATTGGACCCTTAGTTAACAGGTAGATTTTTCCCTTTGCCACAATGAGGGTGTGTGGGCTGTTGATGGAATATCTTCTTAGCATAGTCTTCTCTTCTCTTGTTGACTCTTGGCCTCTCTATTGCTGAGGGCCTGGGCCCTGGGTGAGAGATCCACGTTTTCTGTTTTGAGCAGGAAATCTTTGCAAGACCCATCAGGTTTTTTTTGTGTTACAGGAGAGGGGGTCCCCACTTGAGTTTGTCTGCTTTCCCAGAACAGATGGTTTCCTCTTCGTTGAGGGATCCCACTGTGAGTTTGCTTCCTGAGTTGGACATTACTTTTGCATCAGGTTTTGCAGGTGTATTACTCTCGTCCACACTGTCCTCATTTGAGACAATGTATTGGCATCTGGCTCTCCTTGACCGGTGGTCCCTGCACCAAAGGGAAAGGTTTGTGTATCTGGGTTTCCTCTTCTCCTGCATGACAGAAATGGATAATCGCTGAAAGGGTTTGTGCTACCAAAGATTTCAGAAGGTAGAACAATCTTGAATCCTTCTGATAGTACCCCCTGCTGGGTAAGGAGTTTTGTGGGACCTCATCACCTGTAAATGGGTCCTTCTGTCCTGGGTTACGGTATACCCTTCATCCCTGACAACTCTTATAGGGTTTCCTCTCGTGCACCCTACCCCCTTTTTTTGATCAAGTCTGACTTAATGGTTGGTACCCTTGAGTTTTCTACAAGTTTCAGGGGTCACTTAGCTATCCCTATGGGATATTACACTGTGAGCATTCTCACATTTCTTGGATATCTCATTTGTGGGATTGTTTTCCTGGTCAAGTACTTCATATTCATTATGGAACCTTTATTCACTGAAGCCTAAGGGTTGGGAGTGTAAGACGGGCTTGTTCAGAAACGTTTTCAAAGGTTTCCTCTGGGGGCCTATTCTTTTGGGGACCTCTCCCAGTGTTTTTCTTTCTTGCCATGTTGCTCTATTTCTTCGTTTTCAAAAGTATTAATTTGCAGAAAGCTTTATGCAATGTACACGCCGATCTTATAACGTTTCACATGTATAACTTTGCACTTAGCTTTCCTCAATCTTGTGTTTTAATTTAAATCCATCCAGGGGAAAATAATAAGGTCCCTTAACCCCCCACCACCATCCGCACATATGTGTCTTTTCCCACTGCTCTATTCACCCGCCAGGACTAAAGTGAAACATCTGGAACTTCAAAGTATAGATGAGCATATGACATCTCTGGTGTCTTATGATTTAGCACATGTGGGGAGAGAAGGCATCCATAGCCTTATGTAAGCTACAACAAGTCAAAGCTTACACAAGACAGTCTTTCTCGGTTCCTATGGCCAGAATGAGTGGGGAGGAAAAAGGTGAGTATATGTTCCTGGGGAGGTAGACAAGTTAAGTGAATCTCTTACCTTGTACTGTATGGGCAAAGGAAGGGTCACATTTTCTTTGGATAATATCCAGGCAAGTCTACCTGGTCATTGATTGGGAACAGAATGTACTTTGCTGCAAATCTTGAGTTCTGTTGTTACCTTAAGATTTTATTTACTTGGTCCCCCACTTGCAAATTATTTCTCCCCAAACAAAGTAATAATTATTGGATTAAACAAAGTAATAATGATATGTCTATCTGCAAAAATAATCATATAATGTGAGGGTGTCATTGAAAGTAATTAGTATATGTGACTGAAATGTAAAATGGGAACCTTCACTTGCGGCTTAGTGATTAACCATGTATGCCAAAATCAAACAGTCTGATGCACATTCGCCTTTTCTTATCAGTGACCTTATTTCATAAACAAATGTTGTAAATATGCTTATGGACCCATGTACACATGACTCCTGAGTCCCTTTTGAATATATATTTATTTATTATTGGTATTTATAAAGTACCAACAATTTACACAACGCTTTGCCTTGACTTAAGGCAGTGATCCTGCTCAGGTGTGGGTGGCAGGTAGTGTTTATGTGGTGCCACTTATCAGGAAACTGGAATGCTGCAATAACTCCCATGGTAATTACAGCTAGCATCATTTGTCATAACCTATAGTCCCAGGGGAGACGGGTATGAACAGGAAGAGCAGTGTTGGGCACCTGATTACCAAGCAGAGGAAGCAGAAAGTGTTTAAGATCATGGCACTAAAGACTTGATGGGCAGTACGCTGTACATGGCTTATACGTTTCTTCTGCCTGATGTTAAGCTCTAAA